AGGCTGTTGCCGTGCAGCGCTTCAAGAGCTGACCTGCGTCTGACCTCAAAGTGCACAAGCGTCCAACTTGAAGTGTGTGATGCGATTTTGAAGCTGAAATCGCGTTCGGTGTGAACGCAGCATTAGATGAGCAGTAGAGCTGAGAATGTTGGTTGCACACTTGTGGTTGCCATTGACACTCGTTTTGGGCTTCTGCCAATCAGGTATAAGATTTATTGCCAAGAAGCATTGTTGCAACAAAGGAATACTCTACCAAACACAAATTTTAAGTTTATAAAAGCTACAAAAAGTCAAAGCTCACTATAGTCCACATTCACACATTAAAAGAGATTACAACACAAACTGATTCTTCCTCTGTGTCTCTATAACTCAGACTGTTTGATCAGTACCTCAGGAAACACCACCAGTCTGTGAATTTATGTTCATAGTTTCTTATTCTTGTGTTTGCAGCTTTCAGAAGCCAGGACAGCCTAACGGCAGAGGCCGAAGGCGGCGACGAGGACGAAGGAGCCGGAGCCTCCAGCACGGTGGAGCCGCGGCCGGCCAGCGGCGTCACCGAGCGATCCAACAGCACGTCTAACAGGCGCTCCTCTCAGCTGCTGTACGTGATCACGTCCAGCCCCGGGAAACCGGAGCACAACATGCCAGGTCAGTGGGCTGGACGCGGCGAGACCACCGGCCACAACGCTAGTATGTTAACACCCCCTCCGCCGCCCCACCATCCCACCCTACTGCATGACCTCGTTTCCTCGCTTTGGTTCTGCTTAATGTGGTGCGGCGCAATCACGGAGGAGTGCGGAAACTTTGCCTCTCCCTGCTGATCACAATCAGACGTCTCGTCAGAGCTTTGCTGGGTGGGCTGACGTGTCCCCTGCTTTTGCAAAAAATTCCTGCAGAACTTCCATCTCTCACACGCTTTGCCTGAGCGAGCTACCTCGTGTGTTTCTGAGCAGATGTTTGCTGATAATGTGTTGCTGTTTCTTTGACAACTCGCTGGCTGAACACTGCTAACAGGTGTGCCAGCAGAGCCTCAGTAACTCTCTGCTTGCTAATCTTCTCAGTGTGTTTTCATTACGGTGACAGGATGTTTGATGTCCTGTTTGTTTTTTTGTTTTTTTTCTCGCGACAGTGTGGACCATCTACGCTCTGGCTGCTCTCCTCATCCTGACGGTGATAGCCATGGTGGCGAAGCTGCTGCTGCACGTCTCAGTCAAGTAAGCATCAAAACATCAAAGTCCTTATTAGTAAAAACTCACCTCCACAGGTTGGAAACTTCAGTGAGCAGAGAGATTTTTGTGGGGAAAAAAAACTTGACTGTTTTCTTAATTGTCAAAGATTGTACCAATCCTGATATAACGAAGCAGCAGAAAAATAAGAAAATAGGAAGCGTGTCTATTTTCTGAACCATTAGGAACACTCAAATGATTTGAGCTCCCTGTGAAGTGGAACAAACACAATGTTCATCCATTTTAAGGCCAAACTGCAGGAACGATGAAAGTTTGGTTAAATATAAACTTTGTAAAAATAAACTTTCAGTGTTTTTTGACAAATACTGACAAGCTTACAAAAACAGAAATGCAAAATCTCCCTGGGCCAAACTCAGTGTCTTTCATGTTGTACTTCCATGTAAATATCGAGGTTTTCATTCAAATTTATTTCCGTCTTCGTCTTACAATGCTTTAAATACAGAACACAAGATTTTTACATCGATTTAAATACAGCCAGGGGTGTCAATCATTATGAAGCAGGGTTGTGCACTAATATCACCTTAAACTTTTTTCCTTAATGTTTTTTTTCTTCTCCTTACATTATTTTTACTTTTATTTTTAATACAGCTTTAAAATACCTGCCACAGGCA